AAACTGCAGTAAACTTCTTCAATGTCACAAGATTCTTTAACTTACGGAAATCCTGAGTTAAAATTTCCTTTAGGAAGATAATCTCATCTATTCTGTGAGTATTGTTTTCCGATGTCTCACCGTAAAGCCTTTTTTTGATAACTAACTCCATAAGATTGACTGAATGATCTTTGATCATCTCATCGTTTTTCATCCTTAGCATCTCAAACTCTTTAGGATTTAACAACTGGGCAGTTTGAACCTTTTCACTTCCTTTAAACTCCCCCTGGAATGGTCTGCTTTCCTGTTGTAGCACCCACAACTCTTCAAAAAATTGCTTCAAGAACTGCTTAGTAAAAGAAGGCTCTAAAAAGTTTTGGTGTATAGTCTTGTATGCTGCTTGATTTGTTGGATGGTGAGATTCTCTGTTAAAAGGATTGACTTGTACCCCTTCTCAACTATTTCCCATTATTATAAAACATGAGGAAAACTTCCATTCTCAGCCCAAAAGCTATAGTTTTCTCCTTAAGAAACAGGAGGTGCAGGCAAGAAAATACAGCCTTGCTGTCGTTCTCTCACTTTATTTTTGAAAAAATTACTAAAAAAATTTGATGAAAATCACATCAAAAGAACTCCCATGGCCCCATAAGAAGAAGGATCTGATGCCTAGTTGGGGCCCAAATTGGAGTCCCATGAGGTTTCAGAAGCTTCTTCCAAAACCCCATAAGAAGAAGCTCAAAGATAGCTAGATCGAAACAGTTCTCATGAGGTTTGACCCATAAGGTGGCCAATCATGAATTAAATAAAATCAAAATCAATGAATTCAATCAAAAGGCTAGTTAAAATAAGGAGGAAAAACCTTGTAGCCTCTACGAAGAAACTCCAGTGAACTTCCTTCTTCCTCTTGTAGCCCTAAGACCCTCAATAGTTCTTCTTTCGTCTAGAGAGAACAAAAGACATTTAATCAAAAGAAGAGGAGATTTAATTGCTGAAAGAAAACAACAATACTTCAAAGTGTAGATGGGAATATACTTCACCAAGTGTGAAACGTGTAGCACTCTCTGCTATGCAAGCAAAAGAACCATCTGCTTGTTTAAGCATTACCTGCCAAGGACCTGCAAAACTTTGTCAGGATATCTACGTTCATGTGGTTGAATTTTTTAAAATGTCAGTAACAGGAAAAAAGAGGAGCAGCTCTACAATAAGAAGCGATAATCACATATAAGTTTCGGTAGAGAGGACAGAAATCGCAATGACTAGGATGGACTATTTATTGTACACAAAACTTTGACTGGTTTGGCTATTTATTGACTCAGTTGATCTGTAATGTCCCCGAATTCATACAGACCAGTCTATTATCTTCCACTATATGCCTGGACATCCATTTCAGTGATTGGGCCAATCCTATGCAAGGAAATTAGAGTAGAAAAATCTTAGACCTGAAGGGAAATTTCTGATAATCTTGGAGTTGGAGAGAACATAGATACTGAAACTTCAAAAGAAAAAGAGATATTTAGGGCAATATCAAGACAGACCTTTTCTTTCACTTCAAGATATGCAATGATAATTAGAGATTTATGGCTAATGTCTTCGATTTAACAATGGCTGATTACTTGTTGATTTAAACCCGGAGTTAAATGTCTAGTATTTGATAATTTCTAGTCTTGGAAAATTGGAAATCAAGAATCAAGATTAAGAGGAAAATAAATCAAGGATCTTTATTTTATTAACTTAACAAAATAAGGAGATCTTAGGATTATCCGATATGACTTTGGTTTCCATTTTCTAACTCCCCAAAATGTCTAAGTAGAAAATATTATGGCCAGGCAAAACACTAACAATTAAAATAATTTTTTAATAATTATAACACTATATAGATATATTCCGCACCAGGATATTGGCGAAACAGTGCCCCATTATAATTTACCACGAAAGGTGCAACCGCTACTGTCTTACATAAATAAACAAAAAGCCGTCACAAAATTGCATTATAAAACCATCAATCAACATAAAGGATGTGAAACTGAAAGAAATAGCCTTGTGAAAAAGCAATTAATCAATGAAAGAAGCACCTTAGAATACTCTCTTATTCGAATATAAAACACTGGGATGAACTGGGAAAGAAATCGGTAGTGGAGGTCTTTGGTTGGAAATCCAAGAAGACCCAAGTCAGCCCTGCAAGAGAAAGCAAATTTTACTAAGTTGTGAAAAATAAATCCATCATAAAATAAAGAGTGACCAAAACTCATAGCATCAGAATAAGCATACCGTAATGTGTCTAGTTCCAGGTTAAATAGAATAGATGGAGTTGATGTAGCAAACTGTTCCTGAGTGTTCAAAACATAGTTACAATAAGGGGGTGAGGCACTTAAATAAAGAGGATGCAGATTGAAAACTTGTTAGCAATAAAAGTAAGAAAGACAAATATGATGCTACCAAAAAAAATTCTAGATTGAAACATCAGCTCAAGTTAAGAAATCAAACATCTCAAGGTTATGTAGGAACCTAACACCTCGGGACTAAAAACCAACTAGAATCACTCATCTTTGAGCAACATCTTAACATAACAGCAGAATGAAAAAAAGAGGGTTGGTTGCTATTATTAAAGCAGTCCAAGGCAAAGGAATACATTTTCTACACCAGAGTGGTGTCTGAATTTTGACTTTAATAGGACAAGGGCAGGTCTTGAGTATTTTTGAGAGAGAAGTATATACTCTGGAGTTAGCCATAGTTTCAAATGAACGACAGTGCTTTGTACCAATCAGAGTGGTTGTGCTGTCATTTAAGAATTTTTCGAAGGTTGAAAACTCAATGGAAATGCTAGAAGAACAAACTGAAAAAATATTACAATATTCTCTTGTTATTATGTTGAACAGATACATGATATTTACACGGATATGACAAGAAAAGAAAACTAAGCATAGTAACTAAATTAATTAGGAAAATTTCGGCGTAGAAAAGAATATGAAATATAATATCCTATATGAGAAATATTCTCATTTTCTAACAGGAAGAAAGTTATAGATAGGAGAAACATTTTACAAATTACTCCTTTGTTTGAAATAATCGACAGTTCCCAGTTCAGAGAACCAAATAATACATTAAAGGAAGGTTAAATTACATCTGCTGTTTTCGTATGCATGATTTTCTAAATTAAAAGGTCACAAATCAAAATCTGCTGTACTGCACTAAGATGGGCAATTACATGAACGTATGAAACAAAGAAATTTAACAGAGGACCCAAGTGTTGTGATCTTAGATAATATCAAAAATATCATAATAGAATACTGCAGAAATATTAACTGTCAAATGATAATCTCCAAACCATTATTAGATCAAATGTGCATGCCAAATATATGAAAAAAGTTGAAAATACTTTAAAAATAGAAAAATCATACCACATACTTCTCTATAACAGAGAGTTCACGTGTGCTACAATTAATAAATATATAGAGTGTTGGCGGCTCCTTGGACTCCCAGCGACCTGCATTAGTAAGACATAGGAATGAAGGAATACATAGGAAAAACAGCAATGTGCCATAATTAAATGAGATGTTGCACTCGATATGGTTGTATTCTTAGGTTCACTCAAAGAACTACAGCTATGACTCTACTTGAAATTCCACCACAAATGGATTGGTTCAAATTCCAATTTCAGGGAATAGAAATGAGAATATAATACAAATAGAATAGATAATTTAAATGAAAATAGTGTTCTGATTCAAAGTGAATTTTATATCCTATTCATATTAGGTGTTTTTTGATTCATTCCTTGACAAATGGAAATACAAATTCATAATTGTGGAATTAAAGATACAAGTGAAATTTGATTTAATTCAGCGTCAAGTATGTAAATTAAGACTAACTTCTATATATCAAACAACTTAGATCTACAATTTGAATAGGAATGGAATATATTTGAACCAAATGCAATAAGAATTACGCCCATAAGGAATACTCATGCTGCTATGCCTGTCTCTCATTTTTTTAACAAAAGGAATACATTAAAAAAAGAGTATATTCTTGCCTAATAAGCACGTGACTTGCAAGTAATTAGTTTTGCAGATAAATGTGTTCTTGGCCCTAATCATAGTAGACGTGTCATGTACTGAGGCAGACTGTTCTCAACTTGTACAAACAAAACGAACTAATGCAGACTGTTCCATTTTTATGTTGTTATCTAGTCAAATATAGTAGAATATTATATGAAAAACATCTGAGATATTTGTATTCAAGCAAAACAACCTGAAGTCTTTCCAGAAAGACAGTCGAGATCCATCTAACTATGAACACAAATATTCACCACTAGCAAAGACACAAATCTTTGTCAATCTACAGGACAATGTGCTATTAATCATGTCATCAATATAAAAAGAATTAACTTGGTAACATGCAAAACTATGACAAGAATTACCAAAATCACATTTCTGAGGTTTGAGGCAAAGTATTTATTTAAGATGAGACTAAACAGACAGTATACAAAGGGGGATAAGATAACCTCCCAATACAAGCAAAGCAGTCCAATGCAATATAGACAAAAAGCCATGAGCATTGACTCAAAATGAACCCAGCAACACCATAGCAATCATGTGATTTGTGGTAAATGAATGTAATGATAGCAGACCATAACAGACATTGATACTTCTACTAGTAGACTACATGATAGACCGAAATATATTTAGAAATAACTTCTGCCACTTCCCAATGAAGATTGATTATGATCAATCCTCTGAAGGAAAGAATCCTCTAGAAATAAAAACTAAGTTAGGCATTGGAAACAGAAATCATAGTTGCTTTGTTTTTGCACGTTCTTTTACTTAATCTCTTTCAAAATGAGAAACTATGTGCACAATTTCTTCTGCAGACTTCAAAAATAAATATTTTTTTTCAACCGACCTTCATTTTCATCTTCAAAGTCAAAATCAAGAGTGTCCCTCATAGATCTGAAAAAATTGCTGACAGGACCACTGGGAACATCATCAAGGGAGCCTATGCTAATGCCATCAATCTGGAAGCAAAAATATCAAAGATATAGATCCATATAAAAAGTTAAAGAATATGGTCATACAGGTGCCCAGTTTCTAAAAAGATCCAACTAGCAACACATATCGTACAAGGTCCAAAATCCAACGCAACTAAGAACTATGAAAAAGTAGTAGCAGCATAAAACAGCTTGTAATACAACAAGTAAATACTAGGTTTTCCTTATGTTGATAATTTGAAATGACTGCAACAATATTTAGTAACAAGATATTTTTTTGTTACATGCTTTCTTAATCCCCAAATCCATCAGAGGAAGCCAACCCACATAATACAAATGGATTTTAAAAAAACATACAAAAATTCAGGAGAAAATAAAGAAAACTCAATTTATTGATAGTGAGTGATTTAAGTCAACTTATGAAGTTCACTAATTACATGTCCTTTAGATATAGGATCCAGTATCACAAAGACAACCAAAATTTAACGGAAAAAATGGCTCCATCCAGGGGAGACTATTTCAAGCTGCAGGAATGTCAAACCAAAAATTAGTCTCCTATAAGTTACTTTGTTACCGAATCAAGGGCTGACTTGAAAAGCTGAGAAGCCCTGCGTTTTTCTGGCTTATCAGGAAAAACCTGAAATAAACTATCCCATGTTAAACTCAACTCTGATATGAAAGAGCAAGATTCTCTGCAAAAGTGAATATATTCTTACGATGCAAGCCCTGGTTTCCCTTCTTTCTTGCAGCTTCCTGACAACAGCCAATGCAAGTTGAATGTTGGCATCAATGAATTCATCTGAAGAACCCTTAAGACATTAAACATTGAAGACAATTATGCATCTGGGTCTTTTCCTTCATTTAATATAAACTTAGATAATAGATCATTTACACTTCACTAAGAACCAAACATTGTCCATGACAGAACCTCACCAGAGTACATCAAGTATTCATCTATTTTCAACAATGCAGGATTTTTTTATTTTATGAAACAATGCCAGGTTTTAAATAGATGTGATAACTGACTTTCAGAATCATGTCACGTGAGACCATGACAAGAAGCATTGCAGAATGATTTCAGCAAACACAAAAGAGAGTTGGCCATCTCGCGGTGGAGTTGAAAGACCATAACTTTAACACCAAAAACACAGATTTACTTGGAAAAAGAAAGTGTGTACCTTGTAAGAAGAAATGTTGCTCGGCAGGGGCCTGGAGATGCACAAAGTGAGAAGTAAAAAGGTTTAAGGAGGAGAAGAAATAGAAATAAGTGTTAGAAGAATAAAATGAAAACCGAGCAAAAAACATAAATAGTAGAAAAACCGAGAAATATTAATAAAAATGATAACAGTTCAATTCATAAATGATCCTTAAGTTCTTGCTGCATTACTAACTTATTTTCAATAACTTTTGTGCTATGTTTGGAACAAATACAAAAATTTATTATAAGATGATTAAAATTAACCTTATATTAAATTCATTTGTAATTAGATTAATGTATTCCAAATTCCATCAACTTTGATGAAATCAGAAGTTATTATTTCAGTTACATTTGAAATTTTATATGAGATCAAATGTTTATCATTTTGGAGAAAATTTTGATTCAACTAAATCTGAATTTGCGAATAAATTTTACAAAAAAATGTTTAAATTTCTTCCACATACCTTTAAAAACTATGATTCAGCTTCCTCATTTTTGTCCCTCCCTACCTTTAGTTAACTATGTCAAATTATTTCTGAAATCTTATCCCAGTTTAGCTACCAGCCCCATCTCACTAGTTCAGGATACTATCTGATTTCAGATTACAGCTTTGCTGCTTGTTTGGGAAAAAACAATGAACTAGCAAGTAAACTGGGGCTAAATTTAATTTTCTCTTCGCTTTGCAAGGAAAAAAAAAAAAAAGAAGGCTGAGAGCGAATTTGTTTTCTCAATGAATCACTTCAGGCAATCAAGCACAATTAAACACATGCTAGACTCAAGCTTTTCAGGAGAAATATATAATATATATATATAATTTCATAACCCGAAATTTACAAGCTACAAATGTAATTTCCTTAGTACCGACTAATTTCCTGGGAAGAAGATAAAATATAGAAACAAAAAAAAAAACGCGGCCGAAATAAACCATTAAAAGAGGCAAATATCAGAAAAGAAAGATTCAAGGATGAAGAAGTGATTACGGGAACTCGATTTCCAAGCGGGTTTTGCCATCTTCAAGAGCATAAGCGACGGATTTGGCAGCATCAGTGACAAGAACTTCATATGATTTTGGCCTGTAAACTGAGACTCCACGCTTAGGATCGAAACTTTGCGTCAATGAGCTCGCTGTTTTGTTTCTCCCACTGTCGTTAGCGGCAGTGCATTGGATGTTGGAGCTGTACAGATACGGCTTGGAAGAAACAGAATGAGTAGGGAGAGAAAAGAGATGAGGGGAGCAAGAGAAAGGAGACAGACGGGAGTGAGGGAGAGAGTGGGGAAAGCGTAGTGAGAAGGCCATGACAGGCATGGCCGGTGGACTGAGAGAGAAGAGGAGGGAAAGAGATGAAAAATGGATTGGATGATCACGAACTTGGATTTTATATGGACAATTTTTGTGTTCAGGTAATTGGTTTTTTGGTGGGGCTGAACGGTTTGTGGTTAGTTCACGCGCGTGTTGTTTTTTCTCTTTCAACA